TGCATAGTTACATTTACCTAAAACTTTTCATTTTAATATTCATTCGAATAGAAAACTTGCTGTTGACCTGCGACTCCGCACGCCTAAATTATGGCCTATGTCAATCTCGTATGACGTCCTGTACTTTCGGAGCTTATGCGATGCAAACAAACAAACAATCAAATCTTTCCTCTTTATAGTTAAAATTGATACAGAAGTCTAATTTGTGAACAAAACTTTAAACTCTATTTCTGGCTTACAATCTTGAATATATTCATGGCGTCCACTAGAGTACGTAACTGCTACTTCATCCTTATTTGTTGATATGATAACAATTATATAACATTTATGTTATATGGGTTCTGCGGCTAGCATTCAAGATATTTTTATTCTACAAAAGAGAGCTGGCCGCGCTATATATAATTTACGTTCTAGGGAAACTCTCAGATAAATATTTATAATAATTTATTTTCCATAGGTTTGCTTTCACAATATAATTTTCGATAGATGTTAACTGTCAACATTTCTTCCTCTAATAAGTACAAATAGCGTAAACAGAAATTATTTTTCTAGTTAATTTAAATCAAACGTAAAAAAAATTATTTTCAAATTTTGCGTAAGATTTCCTTCGCTTTTTATCCGACTGCGCGACGCAAAGGAGGGTAATGCGTTTATCAGTCTATGTATGTATGTTTGTTTCTTTCTATGTGGCGTTCTAGAGACCAAACGCGTAGGCCGATTTTGATGATTCTTACGTCAATCGATTCGTCTTAATCTTGCGAGTGTCACTAAAGACTTGACAGTAATTAAAATTCACCACAGCGACAACCAGACGCCATATTGTCAAAATTAAAAAAAAAAATGATGAACTATGTCAAGTGGGGTGTCGTTGAATAGGTATTTTAAAATCATCTATAGGTTTCTTTTATCATTTTTCATTTTAAATAATAGTTTAGGATATATAACGATTTAAAGTTGTTTAACAAAACAATAATTCTCGCTAATTTTCTTACTTCTAGATTTAAGTTTTTATTTAATATATAAACGATATACAGACAAAAAAAAACAGTGAAAAAACAGGAAGAACAATTATTTTTGGTAAAAAAAATAACCTTTATTCATCACCAAGTCGCCGAGTAAAAACAAAGTTTACCATCAAGCTCCATAGATGAAAAAGAATAACAAAAAATCCCAACTGCGTAAAAACGAATAAAAAAAAATACAAGAAAAAAATAACTTAAATAAAAACTAAAAAGAAAGAAACAAGCTCAATAGTTTAGAATTCTGTTAAGTAATACTTAATAACTACACAATAGGGATGATGACTACTTTTTGTTTGTTTGTCCGTCAGGTAGAGTGTTAAAAAATATTAAACACGTATTTTTTAATTTTTTTCGTAATCATAAAATTACGGCGCTACATGGAGTTGAAATTTCGCATGACGTCACGTTAGAGTACGTTTTCTACTCAACTGTGACGTAGCGAGCCCCCACTCCTCAACTTTAATGCCTGTTATCTAAGCTATTTCATGTTAAATTGAAGTAAAAAAAAAATACGTATCTAATATTTTTCTATTATCTGACTGACGGACTTAATAGAATTGCATTTTTTTACCCAGTCATCATCCCTATTGAAATAGTTTTATAACCGATACACACATAAAACAAATCATAAATTCTAATGCAGAACAGAACGACTCACAGTCGGGGCCCATTGGGAAGATTTTATTGGTAAAATTTGAATGGGCTCCGACTGTAGTTTTTATTTAAGTTAACTTTTTCATGTATTTTTTAAAATTCATTTTTACACAGTCGGGTTTTTTTTGTTTTTCTTTAAATTATTTATTTTTCATTTGAAATAATTGAAATGGAAATGCCTATTTGCTATCAAATAGGTAGGTTATATGTTAATATGTATAAGTACCTAATACCAAGAATTGCTGAAGTTGTAAAACAAAGTACTCAGCAACCTAAGATACTCAATTTACCATATTATTTAATTTTTATTAATTAAAATAAATATTTAAAATAAGCAATGGTCACAAATGAGATCCTCGCGGAACTACTGAAGATATGTTTTAAACGCAGTACTGTAGTCATGTATATAGTCTGTTAAAACTGACTAAGTTTAATTAATAACATTTTAGTGAATCCCCAGTCACTAATTAATAATGCAAAATCTTTTGATTAATTATGGCTCAAAACTTGTAATTGATTGACGCGAGTGGTGTCAATTATTATTGATTATAATCAATAAATATATTTTTTTGGTTGTGAGAATAAATCTTTCAAACTCAATCCGTTGCGATACGTGTAATTTAATTTGAGAAAACTTATGTTAAAACTCTAGGTTCTGCATATTAGATACTATACCTAAAAAGCGCCAAAAATAAAATAAGCGCAATTAAGCAAAAGTTAAATTTAACTTGCAACAGAAGGTGGTGGCACCTTCCAGTGTAGCGCTACATAGTGTATAACAAAGTCACTGTCCGTCTGTCTGTCCCTATGTATGCTTAAATCTTTAAAACTATGCAACGGATTTCGATGCGGTTTTTTTTAATAGGTGGAGTGATTCAAGAGGAAGGTCTATATGTACGGGCTTAACCGCTGGCGGAAAGCTTCTATAATATATGCTTAAGTGCTACCAGCATAGTACAAATATAAAAATATAACTATTTATGAAAAATATTTTAAAAGAATGGATTCATTATTTAAACAATAAAATTATCTTTCTTTAGACTTAGACCAATTTAGTAAGTGTATGACGTACCTACAGTTTTACCATATCTATTGCAAAATACCTAAGTAATCAACCAATAACTGCTTATGCGCGAGACTATTACGTTATAAATGAAATATTAGAAATAATGTCCTAATATTTGTCCTTTACGTGTTCTTTACCCAGAGAAAATATTTTGTACTCATTTATGAATTATTCAGAGGTCGATGTTGTGCAATCAGACAGATGTAACGTTATTTTTTAATTTAATATGGAATCTTTTATGCAAAAATTCGTACTTTCATATGGACATCCAACAAAAATTGACAACTCTTCTGACATTGGAGTTGCGCAACGAACGATAGTACCTATTGTGCTCAATTGGTTCCCTCTCGCATGCATCGCATGCTGGTAAAGTGAAACATATTAGGTCCCACATATACAAGCTATGGTAATGACAATAATTATAGCATTTGCATATAAGTGATTCCATTAAGGTTGCCTTGAATCATTTTAGGAATTTATGACGATGATAGAGGTGTGTAAATTATAGCATATAACTGTGGGCGCGGGCGGGAGCGGACCACTCCGGAGGCAGTCCTGCGAGGACTAAGTGGACCATCAGGCCGAGTGAAAGTGAAGATAGCTCTCTCTCTTTCCATTTCCAAGTCATAGTCGCCTTCGCTAGTGTACGAGTCGCCACTCGTTTGCCACTTCCTTTATTAAAGCGCGGACGACTCCTTGTTTGTGAGTTTGTTGATCAGTTAATAGGTAACATAGTGATATCAACATTATTGTGTGGTGAATTCGCTGTCGAATTACGGTCTGTATACTGCGTCATACATTAAACATAATCCAGTACTATAGCAACTGATCTCTCGCTGTAGCACCGGTACTTGCGTATTGTCCAATTTATCACGTATTGTTAATAAGGTCGCGATCGGAATCATAATCGTTTAAAATTATAAACGGCTAGTATTACGATGTTGTTTGGTTGAACAAAGTCATTTTCAGCATTTATAAATACTTTCGTCGTGAGTGCGAGTTTAAATATTTAATTATAATCTGATATACAGTAGAAAGATATATTAAAGTTGACATAGGTACATGTTTCCCATTCGTTTCGTGCATATTACCCAGCAATGGCACTAGAGAAATACGAAGTAGATTTTGAAGATGATTATTATAAATCACTTATGGCGCTTGTTGTCTTTTACATATAAAAAGGAACATAGTAACTTTATTATATTAACTTGACATTTATTGTGCCCCTTCGCAACGTTTTCAACGTGTAATTTTTGAATTATTTATCTGTAGCGTAACAACAACAGGAAAAACCAACGACTCTCTAAGGCCTAGAACAGGTCGGCACGGATCGGACGCGCACTGAATACTTATATCAAGAGCTGCCTCCGGTCTTATTTACCAGCCGGATATTAAACTTCTAACTAACAATGCGATTTCTATTAACAAAGTTCGATTAATAACATGTACAAAATACATTGTCAGTGTCGTGGTGACCCAATGTTAGAGTGGATATTTCAACAGTACTACGACTTGTGTGTATCAGTGTTATCTGTTTTAAAGTTATGATTCATATTCTGTTGCTATTCTCAAATGAATTATATTGGCATATTCATAGACCACACATTTAATCTACATTGATTGATTTATCAATATTATATAGGTAACGTTGCATAGAAATAAATCAGACACGCGATTATTGTCCTGTTTTTTAAAACAAGGGAAAAACTTCATATTATTTTATGTATGTTACAAAGCCAGATTTTAAATTGCGTATTTGATTAAGATTCGCAAATTAAGGACAAGGTGAAATCGTCCAGCAAACGAGAAACGCGCGCGCGCCGACGCCGCCGCGCCTGCGATCTGTGTGCCAGAGTACCGCTACTCGGATCAATCTGATATTTATAATACATTTATGTATTAAGAGGGCGTCTAAATCAAATACACCTCTAGATACTTATTTCAAATTAATTGTGAACAAAAGAAAGCCTACTAAAGTATAATACAATAAGTAAACAACATACTACCAACGGCCAAACAATAATTGATTCTAATAATGTTGACGCCATCATGTCAAATATATGGTATTTGTTTCTTTAACTGTCGTATTGATTTAGATTCCTATTCTCTTCACTCTTAACGCTCTTAAAGATCGCGTATTGTTAGAAAATACCTACGACTGAAAACTACTGGTCGGACGCCACCCTGCACACGAGCTTTCACATACTTAGTTGCAAGTCTCAGCTCAGATATAAATTTGATTACTTTATTCAGTAGAGATGAAGATGAGAGTGCTGATGGTGGTGAGCGTGTTGAGCCTAGCGAGTTTAGCGAACTGTGACAGTGTGAGCGCGAGTAACACCACGCCCGGCCCCAAGGACAAGGGGTTCATCGAGTGGATCTCGAACCTGCTGGGCGGCGGCGCGTCCACAACGCTGCGCCCCATCAACGACCCCCCTGATAACTGCCCCGTTTGCCGTGAGTTTCATCTCTTTACGATTATCTCCAAAAGAAATACCAAAGTCTTCAGGTGTCTGTCTCTCTGCCCGTCCGTTTATTATGCCTAATTTTCTTCGTTATGTTATTTATGAGACCAAATATTTTATATTTAGTACATATTTATATAAAGTCGAAGTCAAATAAATGAATTTTAAATTGTGGACCTTAAATTTTATGAATAATAGTTACTTCCCTTTAGACCAAAGGAAAACCTATAAGAATATTTGTGCAGAACTGTCGATGCGCATATCCCATTGTTTTTTTTTTAACCCACAAAATAAAAGGTTATCAATTCGAGGTGTGTGTATTTGTTTTCATCGAAATAGTATAATATTTGTATTGCACCAAAACATTATCATGTTAAATGTTGCCAAGACAAAACCATTTGGATCAAACTATCAAAAAGTTTTCAGTTCTCATTTAGAGCCAAGCTTCTAACACTATACGCCATAAGTTAACAAACCCTAACATTACAAACTACACCTTAGTCAAAATATGTGGCTTGGCCATTTCTTTATTACAATAACCATTGTTGTACAATAACAGTAGTAAACTTACGCCTATGTGACAAAAAATAGGCAAAGGCCTTTTTTCTTTGTCAGTTTAAGAGTTCAGAGGTACAGCCATAAGTATTGCTATTTATCATATCTCGTGAATAAGAATCCGAAGCATAATAGTTCTCCCCATTGTGGGTAAATGTAGACAATTATGGTTCATCGCAGTGGTTTACAACATATCGCACAACAACAGCCCTGACTTGCGAAGCTACCTCAAAGTTTATTTTTTCAAACATCACGTATGTTAGATATAGGAAGAGAAAGGAACAATCTCCCGGAATTTTTAACCGACTTCAAAATTCAAAAGGAGGAGTTTATATGTTCGTAAAAGGTAGACGAACAAACATTCTTTTCCGTATATAATATAAGTAAATAGAGTGAGTAGTAATAGGTAAGTATGGATTATAAACTTTGTAACACATATTGTATTTAATTGGTAATTAAAAATACCTATAACATTTACGACTAAAATAAAAATACATAAAAAGGAATATAATTGATGACCTTTTTGCTAACTAACTTCAAAAAGAAAGTTATCAATTTACCCGTGTATATATGTCATTATTAACAGACTTCAAAAAGATTTACTCAATTCGACTTGTATGTTTGTAACTGACCTTAAAAAAATGAGGTCGGGAATTGTATATGTACAAAAAAAATATGTAATTTAGTTGGAATATGGCACAATATTGATATATATGTATATATTTATGTCTGTCCGCGTATTTCTCGTAAATTAGATATCAGGTTAAAATTATTCTCACTTTGTTAGATTAACTATTCATCGATCTAGGGAACATCATCAGAGAAAACTTACTAAATGACTTAAGAAACGAACTGCTACATTGCTACGAGATTATATTGGATTAGGGTAAAATTGTGTCCCTAACAGAAAATATTTCTCCAGTTAATATAACTGTTTAAATACAGATGAAAGTGTCCATTTATTTGAAGTTAGGAGTAATATAGATCGGCGACAACTTCTATTATTAAAAAAATAATAATAAATAAAAACACGATAAAAAAATTAAACAGACTTAAAAAATTAGCAATATAGAAAAACAACTGAAAAGAGAAATAATACCACAATTTTTTATCTTAAATAAAATCGAAACGTAAAAGTTGATGCCTACACCAAAAAATTTTTAAGGTCGTTGCCAGATATTTATGTAACACAATACCATGTGTAGTAAGAGAAAAAATGATTTACTGATAGTAGTAGTACCGTTCTACTCCTTAATAACGGCACGACTGACACCGACCTTACAAAAAAGTTGTTACTCTATTATTCTTCGTCGTTACAAATCAATGATCGGAAGTTTGAATCTTTGAGGGATATAAAAGTAAATATAGATATTATATTTGATCAATTTTACATTAACAATGCTATACTAAAAAATATTCTAAATGAAAAATGCTTATAAACCCTCTCTGTCCAGAGTGCCAGACTCTCAGATGGGACTCGAACACATGATCTAACGCAATCCCAGCAATATTTGTTATAATATGTATATCTATCGGCCGTTTGGGTGGATTGTATGAACATTGATGAAAACACGCTCTGTAGTAGCGAAAAATTAATAAGTGCCTCAAAAATTCATTAGCTCAATGGTTAGAGCAGCCGCAGGTGACCGTGTGTGTGTTATAAGAATATTTTCACTTTTAGCTTTCAGTAAGTAATAGTGCGTAGTCATATATCAATAGGGTACTTTCATAAATGTTAATAATATGCATAAGCGGGCGTATTGTTTCGGTAAAAAAAAAGTGTACGCACTCGCAGGTCGCGGGCAAGCGACGTTGTTGTTGTGAACGAAGCAAATATTGCATTAATAGGTACTATTTACCAAACTGATTAGTAAATATTAATATGCATGAGTAAAAGTAAAGTAAGTACACACGGTTGCACGTCAGGTTACCACAATACGTCAAATTCCTGTATTGGATTTTGACCTCTACATATAATATGTAAGGTTCAAAATCAAGTGGGGAAACTTCAGTTTTGTATAGTCTGTAGTGTTAATTTACGGTTGACTGTATCTATACGACATAGTAGTACAAAATGGACGTATTTTTGAGAAAGATGGGAGGTACGCAACGTGAGTCGGTAATGATGAATGATGTCAAAGCGTTAGGTATACATACCCACTTGCATAGACTCAATATCTTAGAATTTCCTTATAAATGATTCGATGTATATCATTTGCAAATACAATAGAAGAGATAAACAAGAATTTTATTGAATTACCCTGTACTAGTGCTGTTCCAACATAAGAGTACCTACCTTTCTATTGTTAGAAATTTATTTATTTAATCATATATGTACTGCCATTTGGTTAAGTCGATAGTACGTTAGGTAGACAGTGAGAGGATAAATTATTTTCCTCATTAAAAACATACCCTGGGGTTGCCAAATAAAGAAGGACGACCCACCAGCACCAGGTAGTTTAGCAAAGGAAATACATCACACTGTCACACTAGTAGGTATTCATATTTTGCTGTCACTGCAGTTGTACAATTGTTTTTGTATTCTAAATATGTGAATGACATTTACTATTAAATGATAGTTTTGAATGTAAATTGCCAAAAAGGTTTACATTGCATGCAAAATAAAAATGTTCATTAAAAGGATTTTAAAAAAAATATAAGGTATTTTGTTGTATATTTTGCGTTACTATTGTAGATTTGTATTATATATACTTACGTTTCTGGCACTAGTATAGACATTTTGTAAAAAAATGAGTATTTTCGCATCCTCTATTAGTGTTATAGATGATAGAGTACACCTACGTGATATAGAATTAATACAATACTCTATTTTAGAGCACGGTTGGCAACCCTAAATGTCGTACCTAATTCACTATCAAAATCTGTTATAATTTTTTAAAATAGCCAGTTTTCGAAAAGATGTTTTATGGTGGATTATGCACAACTTATGCTCCACATTTATCCTTTCACCTCAGACTGGAAAAAGTATTTGAAAAAAGAAAAACAAAAAACCCGATTGCGTTAAAACGAATTTAAAAAAATACATGCATTAAAAACTAAAAAGAAAGAAATAAGCCCAGTATTGAAATAGTTTTATTATCGATACCACAGAACACAGATCGATACACACATAAAACAAATCATAACTTCTAATGCAGATCAGAACGACTCATAGTCGGGGCTCCTTGGGAATATTTGATTGGTAAAATTTGAATGGGAAAATGAAAATGATAAGTGATATAGCCCACTTGACATAGTTCATCGATTTTATTTTATTTCATGTTGACAATATGGCGTCTGGTTGTCGCTGTGGTGAATTTGGATTACCGTCTTTAGTGACACTCCCAAGGTTAAGACGAATCGATTGACGTAAGAATCATCAAAATCGGCCTACGCATTTGGTCTCTAGAACGCGACATAGAAACAAATATACATACATACATAGACTGATAAACACATTACCCTCCTTTGCATCGCGCAGTCGGGTAAAAAGCGAAGGAAATCTTACGGTACTAAAACGAAAAAATTTGTTGGATTTAAATTAATTAGAAAACTATTTTTTGTTAATAATAAGTAGGTATAAGTAATAAGTTTAATTAATACATAGTGATTCCGATTCATTTTCACCACTCTCTAAACTAAGCTATATACGATCTAATCTAACATACTTTTTATACTCCCGTATTTATTCCTGTGTATTAGCTATTTACAGAATAATAGAAAATGCAGTTTGATGACATTAAAACTAATCGAACCCACCTACGTTAATGGCATGTATGTTTTATTATAATTTTCAGAGTGTGGCATTCCGCGGACGCGGCGGCGCATCGTCGGGGGCTATGAGACCAAGACCCTGGAGTTTCCTTGGATGGCTGTCCTCATGTACAACGGCCGCTTCTACTGCGGGGGCTCGCTCCTCAATGATCTCTACGTTCTAACTGCTGCACACTGCACTGCTGGGTGAGTCCGTTCACCATTATATTTCACCGATCTCTCTTTGTATCTTTGTATTTTGACACTCATATCGCCTACTTTACAGATAAAAAAATAAAGTCTGCCTCTGTCTGAAAGAGCTCGGATTTTGCCTTAAAGTTCGTCGTCAGTTTTTCTTCCTCTGCCATAGTTTCGCGTAACTGTTTTAAACAAATCTTGATTTCATTCTTACACTGACGGTTAATTTCTTTTGCGATCTGCGATCGACCAGTCGATCGTGGCAATTCAAAAAATATAAATAAAATCAAAATGCTACATAATTGTGTACGAACTATGCTGCTCCATTTAAGATTTTAAGAAGTAAAGTAATTGGTAGATCGTTCTGGGTGTCGTCAGTGAAAAGTCGATCTTGGGTCTAAATAAGTTAGCCACCCTACTGTCACCGATTGCCATAACGGTGTTACACAGTGCACACCTCTTTTCTGTGTTGTGTGTGTTGGTGTTACTATAAAAAAAAAACAAAAAAATCGCAATTTAATAATTTCATTGAGGGAGTTAATATCGTGGGTATTGTTAAGTAATTTGCGGTGTTCTAAACTACTGATGATTAGTCCGTCTAGAGACCTAACTCGGCTCAAAGCTACATATACTTTATTTTTTACCAAAAATATTTGTTCTTCATGCTTTTTCACTGTTTTTTTTTTGTTTGTATATCGTTTATACTTTAAATAATAACTTAATTCAACAGTAAGAAAATTAACGAGAATGTTTTGTTAAACAACTTTAAATGGTTATATATCCGAAACTATTTAAAATGAAAAATGATAATTTGAACTTAATATAATGATTTTAAAATACCTATTCAACGACACCCCACTTGTCATAGTTCATCGATTTTTTTTTTCATTTTGACAATATGGCGTCTGGTTGTCGCTGTGGTGAATTTTGATCACTGTCATATCTTTACTGATACTCGCAAGGTTCTTCTTCTTCTTCTTTCTTCAACGGGCGTCTCCGCAACCAAATTGCGCCTATTTTGCATGTGGAGGGTGTGTGGCTGGATACTACGGATACTACCAGCCAGCCCAGCTCTGCCAGAAATGCCCCCAACGCCTTCACATCTGCGATGGCCTCTTGGAGGTTGCCCGGCGAGCCGAGGTGCTTTGCCCGGTAGTTGGCCACTCCGTTGCATTCCAGCAGGACATGAGTGGCTGTTTCTTCCGCCTCCATGCATCCTCTGCACAAGGGGCTGTCAGTGACACTTAGATTGAAAAGATGCCTGTTTAAGTTGCCATGACCAGTAATAGCACCCGTTACCAGGCGCAAATATCGTTTACTTAGCTGTAGGGGGGCTTTGGAGAGACGAGCATTCACTCGGGGTAGTGCAAGTTTGGCCTGCCTGCAGGTTTCCAAAGTGTGCTATTGTTGATGCAGTTTACTCGAGTGTTCACGTATCCTACCAATTAACCAGCTTACCGGATTAGGAATGATCGGTTCCGGGCTCATTGGTGTTGCATCTGATCCTCTGCGTGCCAGTTCGTCTCTCCACTTTGTTCTATTGTTTGTTGTTTGAAACTAATTTTAAATTTAGTGACTTCCAATATACGTGATGGATGAGTATCATACTACAATACTGTAAAATATAACAACCGTTTATTGAAATACTTCTCATTAATATGGTAAATCATTTCCGTTTCTCAGTTTCCGGAAGGAGCGGATCACTGTGCGGTTTCTGGAGCACGACCGGTTGAACAGCAACGAGACCAAGACCATCGACCGCAAGGTGTCCGCCATCATACGTCACCTGCGCTACAACCCCGGCACCTACGACAACGACATAGCGCTGCTCAAACTCGACCAGCGGGTAACCTCTCAATAATATTGTCCCTTGTCGTGAATTTTACCCATAAATATATTTAGCTGCTTGCCCTGTGTATCGCCACGTAAATAGATTTAACGAAATAGACAGTATAACGACAACTTAATGTAACGTTCCTAAAAATATTAGTTTGTTTTCTATAAAAATTATATAAACTAAAAAACTAAAAATAAAAATAAATTAACGATGCCTGTCACTAGACTGCAAAAAGTAAATAATTCATTCAGGGATGTCTGTGTGCGCTAGCACAATAAGGTCCAAATCAAAATACAACAATTAGATATCATGCAGTTTAAATCTACTATTAAAAAAATACTTATTAAAAAAAAACTTAAGTCCAAGCAGTTTTATATAACAGATAAAACTGCTTGGGTTTAAGATGGTACAGCAACTGGATGGTGATTTCTACTATACTCTCAGAATTATCTTGTTGCAATTATTAAATTATTATGTTATCACTTTCTGATCTTCTTTTTCTATTTATAATGTATCGATCTGGTAATGACGTGGTTTTGTTTGACGTGAATATCGTTACTCCCATTGAAGCTGGTAAGTTTCTTGCTCGTTCTTCTTATCAGCCAAAAGATGTCCTGAACGAGTGGTAGGGAAAAAATGTTGGACGATTCAAAAGTACATTTAAGAAGTTATTCGATTAAAGATTATTTTGACCTGACTTGACTTAACATTTACATTTAAGGCTGATCTTCACGGGGTCAGTGACAAGCATCAGTGCTGGTCTATTGTCGATTATTTCGAGGAAATGTACGCGAAAGACGGGGCGTGCTAGATATATGATTGATTCTTGTCATGTTGTGTGTTAGATGATAAACAATAGGTAAGTTTCTGTTTTCAGGTGGATCTCAGTAGCGCTCTGAAGCGGGTTCGGCGTGAGGGCGAGAGCGCAGGGTCGGGAGAGAGCTCGAGTGAGGAGAGTAATGACGACAACGGTCTGCGGCCAGTGTGCATGCCTACTGCGGGGCTCTCGTACAACAACCACAGCGGGGTGGTGACCGGCTGGGGCACCACCGAGGAAGGCGGCTCTGTCTCTAGCACACTGCAAGAGGTAACAACATGTATAATGCGTGAGCTCGAGATAAACATCGAAAATTATTTCCTCTTCTATTATCATAAACGTCTACTGAACGAGTACTACAGGGAGTTGCGGCTCTGTGGGTGGGTTGACAAACTGTTTACCTATAAAATAATAACACTAATAATAAATAAATAAATAATAATAATAATATAAAATTAATTTCAGGAAGTTTTTTTTTTTTATTTCAGACTCAATAATTACGGAGATAGTTGGAATTGTGTTTTTTCTTATGAGTGATTTATTTAAAAAAGTGTTCTTCTTAAAGTTATACAAATATAATTTGGAGATTTTCACTATGATATTTATTTGGATATGTGATGATGGGTGATGTTAAGGAGGCTGCCACGGCTCGATCCACCCACAAAGCCGCAGCTCATGTTTACTGGGCTGGGTTTCCTGTGACATTTACTAGTAGAAACTATCGGGAGGAAATTATTTGTAATAATGTTTGTTGGCTTACGGATCGTGACAGTGCCTACGTCCTATAATACCGCTGTAAGATGTAAAACATATGTTAACAACAATAGTATGGTAATGGACTTAAAAGGAATATAATATAATCAAATTTTCCCAAGGGGCCAACGAGATTGCATTCCCTAGGTACGGGTCGAGTTGAGGTTTGTTTAGGAATTATAGATAATGTAACCGTTCGCTAGGTATACGTGCCGATAATATCGAACACGGAGTGCCGTCAGACAGCGTACAAGCAGCGCATCACGGACAACATGCTGTGCGCGGGCGAGCCGGAGGGGGGGCGCGACGCCTGTCCTTGTGTCATATATATTTAAAAGACAAAATAAAAAGACAAAGAAAAAACGCAGCAAATATAATTAACTTTGTTTTTTTTATTAAAAAAAATATATATATAGAAGGTAGAACTCGGGTTGGGTCCTAAAGCCAGGTCACAGCTTAAACGACAGTCCACTCTGTCCCATAAATACCACTCTCCTTGGTCTATTCTTTTAAGCGTCCAGCTTCTTTTCGTTGCGTAGTACAAAGCGAGGTTATTAGTTGCCGTAGTAGATACTAGATCAGCTCGAGTAGTAGTGGATGATCTTAATCGAAGCGAAGCTCGAAGCACGAATAATTAGCGGTAGTAGGTAGGAATAACACAAGCAGTAGTGGTCAGCTGGCTTGGCTTGGCTTGAACTCCTACGAAGCTCCTGAAATCGTACCGTATAGATGGTTTACGATTTATACTGACAGGCTTTAATCGACCTAAGGACTGTGAAGCATTATAGGAAAACTGAATAAGCTAGTAAAAAGGCGTAAGAAAGTGTAGGTGGTTAAAGCAGCTTGAATGATTTATTCAGAACGGTAGCCAGTCAAATGTAATGATGAAACTAGTAACTAAGCTTAAGAAACAAAATACAACTTAATGCGGGACTAATGATTACTCATTATTATCTATAATTTAAAGATAATAGCAAAAAAATATTAACCTATTAAAAAATAATGAAACCACCTACATATAGGTAATATACAACGGTACATACTAAATTCACTCGCTTCTCAATTACAATAAGCATTATCTTGGTAGTACGCAGACGATACCAACATTTAAACTTCACCATTTAACATAGTTACTACTTAATAAAAGAATTTGCACAACTTACCCAGTATGGGAATATAAAACACTTGAACTTAAACTTTATAAGTACACAGCTTTCGGTAATACTGTAATAATACTAAGAGTACTCTGGACAGGAAACAAATACAGTTCGATAATTATTTTACAGCAATAACTAATAAGAAAATCGAAAACGTTAAATACGTTGCGTTCAAAATTCAACTTTTAGTTAGTGAGACGGTTAGTCGTCTTGTGACCGCTCAGTTTGCTATCAGCGGCGAGCCAGAACCGGCTTGCATTTATTACCTACAGTATTAGCGATGCGTCGAGTCACAAACAAGCGCAGTAAAACCATTGCGAAAGAACGTAGAAATTGAAGGTTCCGTCTAACATATAACGAATATATCTTTTCTATGATTATACAAAACTTTCTTATTTTTTTTTTAATATTGAATATTTATAATTTATTTTATTATTAAAAAATATTTAATAATTATATTTTTTTTTTAAATTATCTCGTGTTGAAAATTGATAATGTAATAATGTAATGTATTATACACTACGTTACAGTACCCCCTCCCTTGGGAAAGGATTTTACTCTAATAAAATCCATTAGCGAATAAAGAAATAATTAAATACAAATAATCTAGATCTACTTTGTTTGTCTTCCGATAATTTTGAGGTCTTTGATATGCCATACACCTACATCACGACCATCCATGTCTTCTAAAACATATACCAGTGGAGAACGCTTGGCGGTAATGCGGCATTTTTGGTATTTTGGAGCTAATTTTTTGCTAAAGTGAGCGTCTTTATCGCTTTGGAAGTAACATTTCTTCCAAACAATATCACCTTCATTAAATTCAAACTCTTTTCGACGCAAATTGTAACGCTGAGAGTTTTTTTGATGAGCGTGCCAAATAGCCATTTGAACTTTGTCAAATATATTTGATAAATGACCCAAATTTTCAGCATATGCGTCTCGAGGTAAGAAAATGAGATCATTGGAGTCATTGTCAATATAATGCGATCCACAAGTTACCAGTTCCCTGCCGTGCACCAAAAACGCAGGTGTGAACCCGGTGGTTTCGTTAATTGAATTATTTACTGCAAACTGTATTTGAGGCAAGTGAAGATCCCACGATCTATGATCGTCTTTGACAAAACTAGATATAGCAGTCACGATAGTCTTGTTGTACCTCTCCACGGTGTTCATTTGAGGTGTATATTTAGGAGTAAAATGAACCTTCGGCACTCTATATTTTTTAAACAAACTGTCTAATTCTCGACTTATAAATTGGCATCCATTGTCGAGAATGACAGTTTGGGGAATACCATGAACCATAAAAACATCATTCTCCAAATGTCTCGATACAATATCAGCCGTGGCTCTGCGAAGAGGAAATAACAAGCAATATTTTGAGAAACAGCAAGTCACAACAAAGATATAATTGTGTTGTCTTCTAGTATTTGGTAGTGGTCCTACCAAATCAATGGAAAGAACCTGGAAAGGTCGAGAAACATCCTTGGGCCGTCCCATTTTTCCAAGTGTCCCATGTGTAGGCAATTTATATGCTAAACAGACATCGCAATTAGCTATGAAGTCCACAACGTCACCATACATACCAGGCCAGTAAAATCGAAGTGCTAAGCGCTTATATGTCTTAAACACTCCAAAATGCCCAGCAATAGGTTCCGTATGACACTGCGCTAAGGTGTATTGCCGTAATTCTTGAGGAACTACCTCTTTCCAGTCAAATTCTGATGTAAGGATATTTTTATTCTTCATATATCTGAATAAGACATCTCCCTCAACACGATAATTTGGAAAGCTAGTAGGTATATCTTGACAACCGTTGAAAATATTAAGGTACCATTTGTCTTGAGTAGGAGTACCAGTAGTAGAAGTACTATTGTGATGGATGGCATCAACAATTACACATCTAGATAGAGCATCAGGAACAACATTATCTTTCCCACGACGGTGCTCGACCTCGAAATTGAACGAGGAGAGACGAACACCCCATCTAGCCAATCGTCCAGTTGGGTTTGATAGCGACATAAACCATTTAAGTGCAGAATGGTCAGTAAAAACCTTAAACGTCTTACCGTTTTCAAGGTAACATCGCCAATGTTCAAGTGCAACTAACACTGCGAGTGCTTCACGCTCAGTAGTACTATAATTTCTTTCAGGCCCTGTAAGAGATCGACTCATATATGCAATAGGATGTTCAATACCATGAATAGTTTGCGCCAACATGGCACCAACTCCGAAGTTACTGGCGTCAGTATGCACCTCAAATGGGCACTCAAAATTAGGACAAGCCAACACTGGTGCTTGTACCAAACGGGTCTTTAAATCTAGGAATGATTTTTCGGCATCAGATGTCCAGCAAAATGCTGGAGCATTTTTTTTAGTTGAAGTGAGTCTATTTAATGGGCCTGCAACTGTGCTAAACTGTGGTATAAAGCGCCTATACCATGATGCAGTTCCGAGGAAACGCTTAACCTCTTTTTTAGTGGTCGGAGTTGGATAGTCAAGTATAGCTTTTACTTTTTCGGGGTCAGTTCTTAAACCCTGTGCATCAACGACGTAACCGAGATATTTTAATTCACTTCTAAAAAATTTGCTCTTTTCGAGATTGATGGTGAGATTTGCAGAGCTAAGTTTTTCAAAAACACGGTTAAGTAGGCAGACGTGCTCTTCGAAAGTCTCGCTAATGACTATGACGTCATCAAGGTAACAGAATACCTTACATTCAAATTCGGGGCCGAAGAGAAGATCTACTAGTCTTTGTTGAGTAGCTGGTGCATTGGTAAGTCCAAAAGCAGTTGTCTTGAACATAAAAGTGCCTCGCCCAGGAACATAGAATGCGGTCTTCTCACGATCCGGTTCATCAATCAATATTTGCCAAAATGCCTTAGATAAATCTATACTAGATAAGAATTTAGCATCCTTAAGGTTATCCAGAATTTCAGATACATATGGCAAATTATACGCGTCTTTTTTAGTTACAGCGTTTAATTTTCTACTATCTAGACAAAAACGAGGCTTACCATCCTTTTTACCAACTACCAATACCGGAGATGACCATGGACTCTCACAAGGCACAATTACGTCCAGAGCCAACATTTCGTCAACCTGTTCGGTGATGACCCTAACTTTATCTGGCGACATTCGATAATAACGCTGTCGAATTGGCTCTGCATTACCAGTGTTAATGCGGTGTGTTATTAAATTAGTCCTACCCAGACCTCTCTCAGCAAAAGATATGCTTTGAAATTTCTTGATTGTATCATCAGCAATTAACTTTTGAGATTCATCAAGGTTTTCGTAAGAGTGTAAATGTAAGTCGGAGTCATTAACAAGAACAGACAAGCCAGGGTCGCCCGTAAACAGGTTACCGGCATTACTTAGATATTTTGGACATATTTTAAAAATTTTCCAGAAATCGATGCCCAATATTAGCATGGTCTCGATTTTAGGGATAACATGCGCCTTAATTATAGAAAATTTGTTCTCGAAAGTTATCGGCAAAAGTATGTACCCAATTGAAGATATTCTATGGCCTCCTGCCGCAGTAACAGTAATTTCGTGACCAGAACACAGTGTTAGACCCAACTTTAGCAATGGAATATGGGATCCGTTACCTAAGATGGATACTGAGGAACCAGAATCAAGTAAGCCGTACATACTAAGCATATTACTCCCAACAGAAACTTTAGCATATGGACGTGGATCCTCTCTCGGTTTTTCATTGAAAATTGCAGAAACAGATGAAGAATAGGATGAAAAAAAAATTTTGAGGTAAAGTAACCAATCATTCCATTCCGAGTTATTGAAATGATTTATTTTTCTGCAATTTTCAGTTAAGCGTTTTTTGAAACAGAATTAGAACTAGAATTAGAGGGTACTCTCCCGCATTTTACACAATCTGGTTTACGAACACCCTTCTCACCACAACCAAAACAAAAAATCGTACGCTCTGCAGTGCAGTTCTTCATAGAATGAGTATTGACGCGACAACGAAAACAATATGGTGTAGAAATCGCTGAAGCTCTAAATTCTGAAGGTCTAGTTTGAACATGATTTCTGTAAGACTTCGATGAATTTTGAGAACTACCTGGCTCTTGAAAAATTTTATTATATTCTTTGTGTTTATACGGCTGATAACAAAATTCGGGAGCCAGCATTTTAGAATTTAGTAGAGGTGGTTGGCGATAACTATCTGAGCGGACTTTAATACGTTCATAGTTCTTACAAATATCACGCAAATCTTGAATCGATTTAATATTAGGGCTAGCAGCAATTATATTAGAGTAGCTGGGATGAATATTATGCAAAATAATTTCCAGTTTATCTTCATTTGATAGTGGTTTGCTAAGCCGAGAAAACATACCCTCCATAATCGATAAATAAACGACAATACCTTCATTGTCCCCCTGGGTCCTGTCGCGAATTTCAGCTGTCATTCTATAATCGTAATCTGGGATGTCAAAGGCTTCTTTGAGGTGAGATATTAGGGATAACCAATCATGACAGATGCCATTGACTCCGCGATACCAGTGTAAAGCATCGCCAATAAATATGTCAATCGCAAACTGACGCATTTTAGATTCTGAGACACCCTTTGATATACGAAATTCTTCAACCTTCTGAATGAATGCGCGGACACATGTTTTACCGTCATACTTTAACTTAGAAAGTTCACTCACTACGCCACGCTCACATGTGACAGAAATATTTAATCCAGTAGTATTAAAATTACCTACGTCGTCGGTCTCCGACGCCGATACTGAAGCCTTAGGCAAGCTCTCAGTTTCACTAGAGGTCTTAGAAAAACTCATTGCATCACTATAATATTTGTCGAAATTCTTTTGAATCTTTGACAGTAAAGTAACATCTTCAAGTTTGTCAGATTTTGTTATTCTTTGAATTCTATAATATAAATGATGCAATAATGATTTAGTTCTATCATAAAGAGAATCATTGTAAGCAGATTTAAGGCTATCTATGTTAAATTTAACCTTTTCCAAAGTCTCTGTACAACCTTTGATATCTTCAGAAAAGTCAAAAACAGAATCCAAAATTTCATCTGATGGATATAACTGAATTAGTTTTGTTACCTGTCGCCTTAGCCCTGCCACGTTATCAGAAGGTGATTCACCACGTATCGAAACCTCATAGCTAAGTTCAGATTTTTGCAATAGCAAAAATTTAATTGTATATGCCATTTAAAAAAAAATCAAAAAGACTAGGTACGTTGTGCAAATGATTAAAAGGAAACAATATTCTAGAAAGCAAGTAGTACAATACACAATCAATTATGCCTATTCCGTTCTGTTACATGAATCAACTGTTTTACTGAACGAAAGCGTTTTATTAATAAAAAAATGTTGTTAATAGTAATGCGTAGCGTAAAAAATGTTATATAAGAAATAGATCGAGAAAATAAAAAATAAAAAAAAACAAAAGATATTTCAACTTGTGCGAATAAATGAATTTGTGAGAAAATTATCCGCTAGGTAGGTATTCCTATAATAAAGACGTTAACATTAAAAACAAAAAAATAAAAATGACAATATTTTATATTCACCTTCAAGTAATCACACAAGTTGATGAAACACAATCGTTTTACAAAAAACAACTCACCAAACTAACCCAACACCTCTATACCAAACTAAACAGTAAGCAGAATATGAAAAATCAGTTCAAGCTATGACCTCTAAACCACGTATAGGGGCGCCACTGTCACGTTTATCTTGTGTCATATATATTTAAAAGACAAAATAAAAAGACAAAGAAAAACGCAGCAAATATAATTAACTTTGTTTTTTTTATTAAAAAAAATATATATATAAAAGAAGGTAGAACTCGGGTTGGGTCCTAAAGCCAGGTCACAGCTTAAACGACAGTCCACTCTGTCCCATAAATACCACTCTCCTTGGTCTATTCTTTTAAGCGTCCAGCTTCTTTTCGTTGCGTAGTACAAAGCGAGGTTATTAGTTGCCGTAGTAGATACTAGATCAGCTCGAGTAGTAGTGGATGATCTTAATCGAAGCGAAGCTCGAAGCACGAATAATTAGCGGTAGTAGGTAGGAATAACACAAGCAGTAGTGGTCAGCTGGCTTGGCTTGGCTTGAACTCCTACGAAGCTCCTGAAATCGTACCGTATAGATGGTTTACGATTTATACTGACAGGCTTTAATCGACCTAAGGACTGTGAAGCATTATAGGAAAACTGAATAAGCTAGTAAAAAGGCGTAAGAAAGTGTAGGTGGTTAAAGCAGCTTGAATGATTTATTCAGAACGGTAGCCAGTCAAATGTAATGATGAAACTAGTAACTAAGCTTAAGAAACAAAATACAACTTAATGCGGGACTAATGATTACTCATTATTATCTATAATTTAAAGATAATAGCAAAAAAATATTAACCTATTAAAAAATAATGAAACCACCTACATATAGGTAATATACAACGGTACATACTAAATTCACTCGCTTCTCAATTACAATAAGCATTATCTTGGTAGTACGCAGACGATACCAACATTTAAACTTCACCATTTAACATAGTTACTACTTAATAAAAGAATTTGCACAACTTACCCAGTATGGGAATATAAAACACTTGAACTTAAACTTTATAAGTACACAGCTTTCGGTAATACTGTAATAATACTAAGAGTACTCTGGACAGGAAACAAATACAGTTCGATAATTATTTTACAGCAATAACTAATAAGAAAATCGAAAACGTTAAATACGTTGCGTTCAAAATTCAACTTTTAGTTAGTGAGACGGTTAGTCGTCTTGTGACCGCTCAGTTTGCTATCAGCGGCGAGCCAGAACCGGCTTGCATTTATTACCTACAGTATTAGCGATGCGTCGAGTCACAAACAAGCGCAGTAAAACCATTGCGAAAGAACGTAGAAATTGAAGGTTCCGTCTAACATATAACGAATATATCTTTTCTATGATTATACAAAACTTTCTTATTTTTTTTTTAATATTGAATATTTATAATTTATTTTATTATTAAAAAATATTTAATAATTATATTTTTTTTTTAAATTATCTCGTGTTGAAAATTGATAATGTAATAATGTAATGTATTATACACTACTCCGGGGGACCGTTGCACGTGCTCAACCAAACTACCCATCAGTTTCAGGAAGTCGGTGCGTATCACAACCATACGATTTCTGTGAAACTTTTTAAGAGCTGATCAGATATCACTGACAACTTACCTACGTACTGACTATCTATGGCATTCGTATGATAAAACACAATTGTCCTCATTTTATTCCTGTTTGCCTCGAAAGCTGAATAGACGCGAAAAGCTGAATGCTTGAGAATGCATCTCCATAGAAAACAACGATTTTTTATGAATATGCTGAAAGGAGCAATAATTAATAAGTCCCAATTCGTTGAACATTAGAATAAAACTCCATTTTAATTAAGGAATCGTTTGTCATTACAATAAATTATGCAAATCTTAACTCAGCAGCAAATCAGAAGTACTCTCTAGCCAGGACTACTCTAACCAAAGGGTACGACATCTTAGCGATGTTATGCCGACTTAATTTTATTTTAATAATTTGACATTACCTACTTTAATAACAACGAACGTGTGATGAAGATTGAAAAATGACGAAGCAGTAAAACGTAATGAACTGTCGCCGTAACACCGTCAGGACGTCATATCCTATGGCTAGATAGTTACTAGATACTAGATAGTTCCCGCGGCATATACATAAGCTGTTATGTGACGTCGAGACGCTTGTGTGTCAGGTGTGGTGTCGTGGGGCGAGGGGTGCGCGCGCCCGGACCGGCCCGGGGTGTACACGCGCGTCAACCGGTACATGACCTGGATCAAGAGCAACACGCGCGACGCATGCTACTGCCATTAGCTATTAACACTACCTATCTACTGTCACATTATTTATTTATTTATTTACTAAACTATACCGTTAAGTATAACTATAAGCATGGCTACAAGTAAATTTTTTCTTAAATGAAGTATGACTTTTATTATGAATGTCTCTGGAGTAACACTGCCTCACTCTTATCTAGCCATGACAAGTAGGTACCTAAATCTAAACATCACCATGTAACAAAATATTTTTACAAATAGGCAATCCACCTAAACAGTGCAAATTTGTAAAAATATTTCTTTCGGCTGTTCGGGTTGATTGCCTGAAAATTGATGAAAATACTCTCTGTAATAGCGAAAAGTAACAAGTGCTTGAAAGGTTGGTCAGTCATGTTAGGTCCTGGGTGGCCACGGGTAGCTCGGTGGTTATAGTAGTCGCCAAGATTGCTAAAGGTCATGAGTTCGAATCCCATCTCAGGGTGCCAGGGTCAAAGTGGATTTTTTTTAGTATATAGCATTGTGAATACTAAAAAAACAACCTTGTTAAATATAATAAGTAAAATTATTAAAAAGATTTTTTAATCCTGCATAAACAGCTTAAATCATTAAATAATGGATTTGGAAAAGGATGACATTGAATTACAATGACAAATTGAATTGTAAACTACGGTTACTATGGTAACCATTAGTACGAAGTCGTCCGGTAAGTGGATATTCAACACAAAAACAATAATTCAACTCGTTCCAATAGTGCTTGAGTAATCGCAACGAAAACTCCTTGATATAATCTGTAATCAACACAGATACAAAGAAACTGCGTATTCGCGACTGGGTCTCAACGGTCCGTACGATCCAATACGGCAAGCTTACGTACACACGTCCATTAATCGCGTGAGGCTCGAAAGCTTGGTTCGTCAAAAATAACGAAATATCACAAGGGTGGAGGGGGCGTTGTGTAGTTATATATCACGTGTATTTAGTTTTTTCTCAAACACGCGATTACTAAACCAAAACGCTGCGTCAAAAATTAAGATTTTTTGTAGGTACCTACTAAAAATACACCTGATTTGGGTTAGAAATAATTCATAAAAGAAGAAAACCTGCAAATGAATCTTCAAAAATAACAATGAATAAGTAAATTCTGATATGTAAAGTTTCACGCAGTACACTAAATAAATCGGTTTGTGTTAATAAAATATTAATATATATTTAAACATTTATTTCAAATTTCTACGAACACGCCCATAACAGGAAAAAATAAAGATTATTGTGGTTTCTAAAATTAAATTATTTGTTGAAATTGATAAGCGGATAGATTGTTTTGAACCAACTCTTATTAAAACATCATTAATATAAAACTTTATTTCTAGGACTTTAGATACTAATTATTTAGATTAGAATTTAGATTAGATTCTATGTTAAAAAAAATCTATAAAATTAGAACACTGGCGCCATCTACTGAATCCTAATAATAATAATTATTATTACTATTTGCGAAAATATAGGTACAAGGTAGTTTTACAATTTTAGACCAGCTTATTTTATCATCAAGACTATGTGCAAATATTAAAATCAAAATACAATAAATTGTCTGATTTTATATGAAAATAACATTACATAAAAAATAACGAATGTCAAATTATAGCCATAAGATACAATAGGTTCATATTATAATCAAAGGATTCATACAATAATTAGGAATGAGATTTATCTTGCAAGAATTCATTAATAAAAAAGTGGTAATACATTCCTAACAGAATAATTAAAACTATAGCATCATTATATTTAGTTAGTTTTGGGCAAGAGAATTCAGCGTCCGGCCAAATTTGATAAGAGACTGGTCCATGAGCTGAAGGGTTTGGCTGATCCTGACGACGTATGCCACAGTCATTGGCAAACCTCTCCATGTATCACCAAGGGGGAGGGGGCTTTAAAAATGCTGAAAATACGTCCATAAATCACGTGATTCATGGGCGGCCCTTTATGTCAGACTCCCGCTGTCTAAACACCGCCTTGAACAGTTAGTTGCGTGCCTTGAAGGGGCAACGAACCTTCGACCGTAGCGACTTCATATTTCACCTACATGAAATGTGACATCGAGATGTTAGCCGTTAACCCTGAGGGACTCGGCTCATCGGATTGAAAATACAGCTGACTCCCTGAAGGGGATCAGCCAGATCGGATGGGGGTTGACCTGGGTATGGAGGGCGGGGAGGGGAGCTATACTAGGAGGGTGCTATGTGAAAATTTTCACCACAAATTCTTAATACTAATACGATTATACAAAGACAAGATATACCGCGATACAGACTTCCATCTATTGATATGAGAGTAAGCCATGTATTTGACTGCGATCGTTTTAGTATGTTTATTACTATTCCGAAATATGGTATCAAAGTAGTTAATAACAACATAATTAACAACAAAGTTATTTCGGTCCTGTCGGCCATGTTATAGGTTAGAAATTTCGAGATTTTTTTTTAACAGATAACAAATAGAAATGAACATTTTGGCAGCTTTTATCGTATTGAACGGTCCAAATGTCATAATCGATTCAACTGGAAAACTAGGCGTGCAATTGAATGGCGCCATTCAATTAAATGGCTAACCGTCCAAACGGCTTTTTTAACCAGTTGGACGAGACATATATATGTTTCTGTTAAACAGTGAGCTTCGGACTTTTATTCGTAAAAATAGTAAATCGTCGTTAAAAGTATAGTATAGAATAAGTTTGAAGTGAAAAGTTATTTGTAAATATGTTATCCACAAAAATAAATAACTGATTGTCAAGATACAAACCTTCAAAATCTTGCCGTTTCAACATTTGTTAACAGCATTAGCCTAATTTTCTTAACAGCAAAAGCTGCAGAACTCAGTCTACTTGACAAGTTATCAATATGAGGATCCCATTGCAGTTGGAAATCTAGTGTAATACCAAGGGGCTTTGTCGATTCCATCAAATCAACTTTTTCACTATACATATTATAAGTGTACTGACATGCCAACTTTATGCATTTCGTTTTAATTGAATTGAGCTTTAAATTATTATTATCAAACCACTGTAGAACGTTGTCGAGAGCATCATTTACATCGTCAAAACAATCATTACCCTTCTTAACTTTAAACACTAAAGAGTCATCTGCAAATAATACTGTCTCGCACAAATTCTTCGTAAAGTGAGGAAGATCATTCATGTAAATTAGAAAAAGCAGTGGTCCTTGTGGCACATTTGTTTTATAGTCTTTGTCGACCACGCTGTGGCATCGTCATCTGTGATATTTGGGGTATGTTCCGATATACACTGCGAGCACTGCGCAGTGGTCTTACTGCTGAAAAATCCGTTCCGTTATGGACTGCCAGTACACTGCTACAGTACCGTAGGGAAATTTATGACGTCATGAATTGCCGCCATATTTGTACTGGAGATTTCGAGGTGCAGTGCTCGCAGTGCTTTTGACCACGTGATCAGTCGAAACAGATAAAATAAAATACTTACGTTTATTATAAGATGGATTTGATTGATAAATATTTTTTTTATACAATTTTATAATATCTTTTGAAAAGAGGGAATCTTTATATTTATATTCACCTTGCATTAACAAATTTGAAAATGGCGCCAAAAATAGGATTTACAGTATACTGGACTGCGTTCCGTTTTAAAAAGTCACCAGTATAACTAGCTATAAAGGAACGGGCTTCCAGTATACTAAATTGACGTCATACTGTTCAGTGGTCGCAGTGTATATCGGAACATACCCTTGATGTTGAAGTGCCACTTACAAAATATCACAGATTACGTTGCCACAGAGTGGTCGTCGTCTTTGGGAGAGGCCTATGCCCAGTAGTGGGCGTCTCTCGGCTGAATTGATGAGAGTGATCGACAAAGACTATAAAACAGATGTGCCACACAGTTATTATTGCTATTTTTCAGTATGACGTGTATTACCTTAGTATATCCTTAACCTTAAACATTACTCGGTCATCATATATTTAAAAATCGATCCGGTAATGTGTGATGTTACGGAGTAATATCACTTCCGTGGAAGTGATGCGTGATGTTGCATTACTATTTATCGTACTGTTTTGCGCATGTCTACTACCCACTTTCCCTACTACAGAGCGTATTCTCATCAATGTTCAGGCATCCACCCAAACAGCCGAAAGAAATATTGTTAGAAATATTGAAACTTTCGATACAGACGAGAATTTTGTTCTAATTATTATATTTTGATTAATTTTGCATTCACTATGCCATAATGAAAGTTATTCTTAATACAAAATGCTTAAAAAATCCACTAGGTCCCTGGCACCCTGAGATGGGAATCGAACCCTCGACCTTTCGCATACTTGACAAAAAATATTTTTACCCGAAAATTAACGAATGGTCTCTGGACAGCAAAATGGCTCCTTTATTCCCCAGCAAAGAAATCTGTGTACTGTTACTGCTGCCGTCTTTATAATACCATTATTGGTACTGAACATAATTTAAGTTCTCCAAATGGATATAAGGATTGGAAACATATAAGTATGGAAAGTTGGAAAGAAATAAGTTCTCCAAATGGATATAAGGATTGGAAACATATTGATGGAGCATGAGAACAGTTGCGACACAGGCAATTTATGATGAATAATGTTACAAGAATGAAAACTACTGGTCGAATTAATAGTGAGTTGTTGTTCCGATATAATATAGAAGTTAACTATTGGAAAAATGTCCTTAGGAGAATTGTTGCAGTAGTGAAGTTTTTAAATTTAATATCTCAGACTGAGATTCTCAGTCTTACATAACTTAATAAAGTCTGATAAGAAGAAACTTTTCCACCCAATTGTAGTGGGGAGTGTTAATTTTCACGCCTTAAGAGGGTAAAAAATGAATTGCGAACAACAATATTCCGAGAACGGCGAAATAATTTGTCAATTATGAGTATAGAAAGTGATATTCTTCAGAAAATTGAGTTTGAGGATTTAATAGAAGATTTTGCTCAACAGAAACCTCTAAAGAAATTATTATCGTAACCACAATAAAAAAATAGC